TGTGTTTTAAGAGATTTCCCCCTATTGGGCCCAAGCCAGTCTCCCTGAGCAGACCACCTCTAGATGGTCAGTGGAAACACTTAGCTCCTCCTTCACCCGAGCCTATGCAAACGCCCAGGGGTCTGGTCTGGTTCTCCTAATAGGTCCTGACTGGGGCAGTCAGCACCATGAAGTTCTTCCTGTCTGAGGCCTTTCTGAGTCAGCACTTCGAGCCCATAGAGTTGGAGAGCAATGAGCCTGAGCCGGGAGATCTCTTCCTGTTCAGGCTGATGTCCTCTACAGGGCGCTGGTGCGGGGCCCACGTGGGCGTGTACTGCGGCCAAGGAGAGATTATCCATTTTGAGGGTGAGTGACTGCAGCTGAAACCCAAGGCCAGGATTACAGAGGGGCTCACAGTTAAGCTGTGTTCCGCCAGTAGGCAGACCACATACGGATACAGCTTCAGCCCTGGGCTGAAGGTGTCTGAAGATGGGAAATGGAGCACAAAGTTTAGGAGGCTGGGGGTCTTTAGGTTGCGGGGGGTGGGGGCCAGAGGGTCAGATGCTTAAGTCTGTCTCTGATCCACATTCATTCGGTTTTCCTGCAGGCAAGCATAATGGGGGCCAAGGACACAACCCGTTTCTAGGCTCCTGGGAAGGCGTTGTGTCCAAACAGGGCCAGCGCACACTGCTGCGCTCTCGCTCGCTTTGGCGTGTGCTGCGTAGACGCGGCGGAGTGGATCGCGCTGCCCTAGAACGACGCGTGCGCGAGGCCATGAACGCGGACCCACCTCACTATCACCCAATGCACAGTAACTGCGTGCACTTCGCACTGAATCTGCTCGGCCAGAGGCCTGGCTTGCAATCCTTGCAAATACACAGCAGCCCCAATGGCTCGGTGAGCTCAGCCCTGCTACCAATGCGGCAGCCCAACCCCCTTCCTGAGCCGCCCCACTGAACGCTGAGAGGGTTGGCTGCTCAGTGAAACCACACCTTGCCAGGAGACAAACCACCCGGACTGAAAGTCAGTCTTGGGCTGAGGGTGTTCAGATCCTCCCTCGCCCCCAACCAGGCCCCATTCCTTCAAATGCAAGATCGGCTTTTCCCTGGCAGCCCAGGGTCCCTAGAATCAAATTAGATATACTACTCATCAAAACTCACTCTAAGAAGGCGTCCGGTTCATGCTCATACCTACCACTTAAACCGAGGTTCAGCCCACTAACCTTCAAATCCAGGCCTCTCCCTGGGCTGGGCTTTCCTTAGTTGCATTCTCCCAGTAGAGCTTACATACCCAGCTCCATTCTTCTGGAAGCTGACCACTTCCACCGTGTCACACCAATTCTGGCTTTGCTTCTCCATTTGCAAGTCCGGGGCCCTATGAACTCTTACAATGCCCAAGCCCAGCCTGGAGACCTCAGCCACTCAACGATATGCCTCCTCTTCCAAATCCAAACTCAGGTCCAAAGAGATTTTCTCCCTTTTTCCTCCGGGCTCACTTCTTTCCCTCTACTCTAGGCCATCCTTCCCTGCGTTCCCTTGGGTTTTGGGAACTGAGCTGGAAGCCTTGCAGGACTAAAAAGTTCTGGTGGGAGTAGCTGACCCTAACTCAGCCCCCTTCCCTCCCCTTCCTCCCTAGACTTCGGTGGACCTGACCTTGGACTAGGCGTGGACCTCAGGCCCTAATGGATCCGCGTGAGGGGCTCTAAAGGGTTCCATTAAACTGTTCTCCAAAGGTGACCTCGGGTTTCTTAGTCTTCTGTATCTTCCCCCATCTCTAGGACCTCAGCCAGCTGGGGGCACTTCCCTGCTTCTACACCAGTCCTCCCTCCTCAAATTCCACGGACTCTCAGAAGCCTCCTGACTGCCAGCTGAGAAATCAGGGTCTAGGTTCAAAAGAAAAAAAAAAAAAGGTAGAGAGAGGGAGCATCTTTAGGTCTCTGAGTGCGGAGCCTCCTTCCAGCCCTAGGACCCGCCAATCTGCGGGCTAAACCGTCCCTTCTCACTCCACATGCATGGGTGGGCATATGCTGGGATGAGCGGAGGGCCTAGAGTCGAAAGACCCAAGGGATAGGGGATGGTGGAATGCAATCTTCAAAAGCGGGCACAGTCGTCAGTCCAGCAGCCTCGGACCTGGAGGCTGAAAGGTCCTTTCGGGAGGAGACTTCTGCGGGATTGGGGCGGGGCCAGACCTGCTGCACCGCCCCTTCTACCCTCTCCGTGGACACGCCCTCCGCCCCGCCGGCGCCGGTGCCTTTAAGAGCCTCAACGCTCGGGCCTGATTGATAAATCCGTGCCCAGCCTCCGCCTCCGTAGTTTGCGTCTTCTGCAGAGCCCGGGCCGCGCAGCCGACCTCGCCGGTCCGCCCTGCGATCCCTTTCTCTGCCCCAGCCGCATCCCGGCCTCACAAGCCTCGTCCCAGAGAAGCTCTATGTCGGCCTCCCCAGCCTACAGCGAAGACAAGGGCGGCTCCGCCGGCCCCGGGGAGCCCGAGTATGGCCACGATCCAGCGAGCGGCGGCATCTTCTCCTCGGACTACAAGCGGTGAGGGAGCCAGCCGGGAGGGTCGGCCGGAGGGCCTGGCCTGGGCG